TTTGAACAATTGTTTTGAAATGTTTAAAGGGATTTCAACATATTTTGATATATTTTCATCAATGTTTTAAAAAAATAATTCTTAAATTTTTTATTTTTTTCATTATATTTCCGAAACGGATCGAAACGTTTCCGTTTCCTAGATGACTGAAACAATACACCGAAACGATATTTTGATCCTTGCCAGTGACAACCCCCCCTCCCCAAAACCACCACCACCCACACACAGAGTGAGAAACTACTATAAGAAAAGTCTCAATACATCTTATAAATGCTCAGGCATAGATGAATTTACCAGCTGCATCCAAGATGAGGTTCCAAGGTGTATGTCTATTACGACGATGAAGTGTTGAGTAATGAAATAAAGTAGCTATAAATACTAAATTGGCAGTTTGGATAGAAGTACTAGAAGCAAAAGGCTTTCAAATAACTAGGCATTGTTATCTAGGCTAGATCATTTAGGCAATGGTACTTAAGACTTAAAAGCAGTGATAGAGTGCATTTAATGTTTGATTTGATTATTTTGTACCACTTAAGGTGAAAGAAAAGCTTTATAAACAGCTAAAAGACAAACAATGTTTTAAAATACAAAATGTTGGGCAATTAAACATGTTAAATGTGGCTGGAAAACAGATTTTTAAAAAATGGATGCATAATAAAAAAAAAAGAACAGAAATTCAAAATGAACTTATTTCGGGGATAGAAGTAACAACATTAAGAGATGAATAGAGAAAATCAACTAAATTGACATAGATGTGTTCACCGACTCCCTACAGCTGCACCAATGCGAAATTAACAACTTATGATTTAACCAAAAACATGGTTCTAGAAGAGAACCGAATTGAGTTTAGATTTAAATGCCCGACTTTAATTTCCCTTATCACTCGCAAAATCATTAACTATCTATTAGTGATAGAGGTTAAGACAAGATTCAAAGAGGTAGAAGAGGCAACATAATAACACCAGTAGAGATATTAGTAGCGGTAATCTTTTCACTTCGTCTATGTGTGTGTGTGCAACATTTGTTTATGAGAAACCTTCAAGATTTATCAAAGAAAGAAGATGAGCAGCAGTAATGTTGCATATGGATAAGAATTACTTTAATTTGTGGAATTATTTTGAGACTATAAAAGAATATAATTTGCAGTCCAAGTCATGAATGGAAACTAGAATATGATTGTTTCTGAGATTTATTTTATACCTGGACTGCAAAAGGCCACATGTATCTCCCGATTCAGATAGAGTACAATATCCACGAGTTTCTCCATGATCTGAAATCCAATGTATGCAAGAATGAAGCAGCTGAGCAAAATCAAAAAAATGTACTTAATGCAGATCAGTGTACATCCAACAATTAGGGCTAACAATAGGTTGTGCTCTGTTGGATTTGTATCATATCTAAGCGAAGATTGGATCAACTCACACAAGATCCATTGAGTAAGAGCAATGCTACATGGACTTAAAAAAGTAGACTTAAAAACTAAACTTGATAATTACAACCATTGATTTTATTGTGGGTCCCAGCATTTATTAGGACCCACTACCTATTCAATGGTTGGAATTATCAAGTATAATTTTTAAGTTCATATAGCATTACTCATTAAGTAAACAGATCCACGTCTCAAACACGAGCACATACCATTGATTCAACGAGTAATGTTGGACCGTGCACAGGTTGAAATGCTTAACTACCAATCCAAACCCGCTTAAGACAATAATTATTGGTTTTTCTCTCATTACATTGTGAATTTAAAGATCAAAAGAACTGTTAGTTATAAGGGAAAAGTCAGATTGTAGAGCAGTTAGGATTTTGGAGAAGAGAAAAATATGGGAAGAGAGTAGTTTGTTAAGTTACACAACTGCACTCAGCTTGGTTATATATAGTCACAGTCATAAAGTACTACAATACCCTTAAGCTAAAAATAACAAATAACATAACACTTTCACTCAAGTTGCTGCATAAATATCCCTCGTACCCAACTTGAAAACAATGTGGTGAAAAACCGTGCTACTAAGCCCTTTTGGAAAAACATCAACTAATTGATCTTTTAATTTCATTAAGGGCATGCAAATTAAACTCTTATTTAACTTCTCTTTAATGAAAGTGTCAATCCCTTGGGCTCTATCCTCAAAATATCAGCAACAGGACGTAGAGTCTTATATTCAAGCCAGCGCTGGGTCAAATAGTCATAATAATCCTGAACGGTCATATCTCTCGCCCGAGCAGATGAGAGCTCCTGAGAAAGCTTATAAACACGAACTCTCCGTCCTGACTCGGAATACATCTCTGATAATGCGCTTCATAGCTTCGGAACAGAGTTATGAAACTGATGAACCCTATAAACAAATGGCTCCATCGACCCAAATAACCATCCAACAATGGCGTAGTTCTCAGAGAACCACGTAGAATATTCAAGGTCGTCATCAGCTAGATTTGAGTGATATCCCGTCAGCCAACCAAGCTTCCCTATACGACCAAAGAAAAGCTGGAATGAACTAGACCATCCAGCGAAGTTACGGCCATTCAACAACTATGTCATATCTTTCTAAGAGATCATGTCCGGTTGTGTTGATAATGCAATTGTGCCAATAGGTACCATATACTGGTCAAACATAAAAGTAAAAGTACCAATAGATGTCTCAACAGTAGAGGTGTCAACAGTAGGGGTCTCAGGTCCCTCAGCAGTAGCCATATCAACAACAATACTAGGGCACCCGTGACAAAAATAACTCTAAGATAAATAGAGGGATAAAACAAGGGGGAACAATATACCTCCAGTCGAACAGTAGAGACAAATAAAGGTCCAAAAAGCTTCCAAATAATCAGGTCACGTTGCCCAGAAATTCAAGAAACATAAAAGTGATCTACTACATCAAAAACAGATCATTGGAGAAGAGGATCTGCTCTCTCCTAAAAAAGTCTTAGATACTGAAACCTGGCAGCACTGTGACAAAGTGTGCGAAGGACGAAGCTACAACGAAAAAGCGGCCTAGCAGTGGGCTGGCCAATGACCCAGGTTGGGTAGTTGGTCGCTGGGTTGGGCAGTGGGCTAGTCTGGGTTGGGTTTGAATAATGGTGGGTCTGGGTTAGGTTCGAATAATGGCTGTCTGGTTTGTCTGTGGCTTGCAGGTATGTTTTGTTGATTGTCTGGTATGTGTGACGGTGGGGATTGGTATGTGTTTTTAGGCTTTATGGTGTTTCGGTGTTATGGTGTATGGTATATATGGTGTATGGTGTTTCAATGTTATGTTGTATGGTATATATGTTGTGATGTGGTTTATCAGTATAGGCAGTCGGTTTGTTAGGTGCTTTATGGAGACGGATGGAATAGAGGCTGTCGGTGCTTTATGGAGGCAGTCCCTGTCAGGCTTTGGCTGTCGGTTTTGATGTTTCGGTGTTATAGTGTTTCGAATAATGGCATTTCAGTGTTATGGTTGTCGGTGATACCAAGAGGCAGTCGGTGTAAGCAGGCTGGTTAATGTGATTATGGGTTGGTTTGATGGAGGCAGTCAGTGCTTGTGTTGGTGGTGATTGGTGATGAGGGCTGCTGATCGCCGGTGAGAAAGACAGAGAAGGTTAGGGTTAGAGTTAAGGTATGGCTCTAATACCAACTTAAAATAAATGTGAGCAAAAAGGGATACAAATTAAATATAGAGCCCCCGTATATATAGCCAATGAAAATTATAATAAAATAAAAAGATAAAACAAAATAAACCCTAATAAACTAGACTACTATATCTCCACCAGTTTGAAACACTTTTTGATTATTTATTGACTATTGTTATTGTTTGCTCTGAAGCTCCCTTCTCTTTCTCCTAATATTCTCATCAGTCATCACCTCGTCTCCTCTTCTCATCCCCATTCTCCCCCTTCCTAGTCTACATCACCAAATGTTTCAAGAATTTCACACTCTGCGACATTCTTGTTTTTTTCTTGACAAATTCTCGATGCTTTCTACTGTCACATCATGAGTTTACATTTATCATTAGGAGTATTCTAGTTGTTCTCTTATAATAGGGTTTTATATAGTGTTGCTTGTATCAAATTTTCATTTTCACGGAATATTAAAATAGTAGATTCATTTTCTCTCTTACTCTTCTATGTATTACACCCCGAACTAGCGGCACAGCCTGATTACACCACAAACCCAGAAAGGAAAACCAATACATGGTAATTTTGTGTTGATTTTATGTGGGTGAGCGAGTTGTGTTAAGAGTTTTCATGCCTACCTAAAAATAACGATGGTTCATCCTGTCCTTAGTAGGAGTAAGTGTAATGTGAAGTCCAAAAGATGAAATCGAAAGAAGAATCAATTATATCACCTTGTGATCAGGGAAAGTTGATGAGATATGCAAGCCAATAAACTTCAAAATATTATAGATAATGAAATAGGACATTTGCATTTTAAACTAAATACAATAAACTGGAAACATTGCAATAAAAACTATATAGCAGCACATAAAAAGTACCTCTTCTAAACTCCTGGACCAGAGTGACTTCTTTTTTAAATTTCTTACTTGCTTCCTTTGGTTCTTTATTTCTGCCCGCAAGACCGCAAGGCTGTCACCTAGTAAGTAAAAGAATAGAGAAAGACTTGTACGGTTAAAATATAATGATAGCCCTGAGAGCATTACATTGAAAAAAGTAGGAACCTAAAAAACAAACAACCAGTGTAATCCACAGCTTTCACAATTTCATCACAAATTGTACATAAGTTCCGACATTTTCAATTTGAATCACTTCAAGTAAGCTGAACCACTTAAACATATGATCCTCATCATATATAAGCTGGCCCCAACATATCCATATGTAACATCTCTACATCATTTCAAATATTCCAACAGATAAAGAGAAAGTATTCCAGTAAGTAGTGTATTTTATTAAAAGCAGAATCCAATCAATCCATACCAACAAATACACACCTAACACAGCAGTAGATCTTCGACAACCATTTAGCATTAACGATACTACACCAAAATTAGGTGGATCTCCTAAACAATTCAAGCAACAGCAAAAAGCTTTGCAGAAGGGATTAATGACCTTTCTAAGAGCAAGCCACACATAAAATTGATTGTCACAATCCATCTTTTCAGTACTGAACGAATAATCATAAAGAGTTTTTCAAGCAAGTCCAAAAAGATTGCTTTGCTTATAAGTTTGTCAACAGCCACTGAACATTCCAAGCAGGCTTCATTGATCCCAAAATGGTGCTCAATAGCACAGAGTTCAGTCATCTATTGGTCAAATTATCAAAGAAGAGCAAAACAACAAAATCCAAGATACTATAGATCCAATTCCTAGTGAGAATCTTGACACACATAAATTACGGTGTACACATGATAAACTTCAGTATTACAATTCATCATCTCTAGATGTTGATCATTACCAAAGCAAAGACGCAAATCAGGAACTAGACATGAAGCACATTGGACCTTGTACTATCAAGTACAAAATCTGCTTTATTTGGTTCTTGTTCCTCATATGTTAGGAGATGGTGCTTTTATACTTCAAAAAATTGTACTATTAGAAGGGCTATGGTAATTGTCCACAATGCTGTTAGGTTTTAATGTGTGGTCTTGCGTAGTAATGTTAGTGGTCAAAGATTCAATCTTTAGAATTGAAATCCAACAGCCAACAAAGATCTACATCTGTACTCTTTCAGGCCATTTACATATTGAAGATTGCATGATTTAGGGTGCAACGGATGACCCTCTGTGCCACAGAGTATTTACGAAATCAAAAAGAACCTTCCAACTGTAATGTGTAAACCTGACGATATTTAAGATGCAAGGAAAATCATTTTTTCAATGTTCATTTGACTCTTTAAAATCATTGTCCTATACAAACACAAAATCACTAAAATGAGAATGCATATAGACGTAAATATATATCTCCAATGATGGACATTTAAGCAATTACATATACATAAAGAATTTTGCATTCTCATATGTAAGAACATTTATATAGATGCCTCTACAGATCAATTCATATACTTCTGTACATAAAGCTATACAGGTCATGGGTGCATACATTGCGTGTATCCTGGGAAACATCTTTAAGCAGCAGTTTCATAATTTGCAAGACATTTTTATTTTCCAAAAACTTGCGGGAAACATTTTACAAGCAACCAAAGAAAATAAATTGCTTAAAATATTGACCAGAAAATGTGTTGCATCCAAAGTAAACGGAGCATTGGTTTCTTTTGTGTTTTGCTTACAACTATAATGCCACACTAATAATTTGAACTGTAGTTGCTTTCCACTAAATCCAGCAACGAAATCTTTCTTCATATCGGATACCTTTCACCATCAAAATAGTAGTTCTACTATGATTTCAAATAAAAAAATTGAGAGGCCGCATACAACATTTTTTTATTCCTTTTCAAACCCTAAAGCCTGCTGCTGAATAATTGAAAGCAGCATTGTTTTGGATCCTTCGGAACTGTTCTAATTCAATCCAGCTGGAATAAGGATGACTTTGTCACTACCATCAAGCCATCACAAAACAAGGTTCTCCTTTCCCCTTACTTCACTGAATTTACTTCCTTTCCCACTAATTTAAAAATTCATATTATCCAAGCCAAAAATAGCCAATTTATTCAATTATTTTTTTTGTACGAATAGCAACTTATCATCGGCTAACTAGCAATAGAAATAGCACTATAAAGCTGGATTTCAAAGGAGGAAATCATTTCTTCACTAAAATGGTGATCCTCAAACAATCATAAAGGCAAAATTCGTTATTGATGCAAACTATTTTCCAAATGCTAAATCCCGATACAACTTTCGTTATGCCTTCCATTTTCACAGGGTCAACCCCTCTGGGGACTCCCAGGACACAGATCAATTCCCTCCAGTTTAAAAATAGATGAACATCTCAGCAATTATGTTCTCAAATATTTTTCACAGGGAAAAGCAGCACACTATTACTGACAAAGAATAACCCTAAAATTATGCTCTGTTATCACTGAGAACACAACACAGTAATTGACGCAACGTTACATAAATGAGGACAAAGTGATCACCTCTTTGTGTAGCATATGGATTGTTGTTCTCTCGACACTTACGCTGATAACCATGCTCGACTCTGTCCAATGCATGCAGCTCATGGTATAACTCCTGCAGACCAGAAAATTTCCATGTTATCCTTAAATTTTAGAAACCTAAAACCCCATTTATTATTGTGTAGATGAAGTTTAATGTTCTTGGAACTTTAACAGATCTTCATGCATGCATCAACGTGTGTTAATATACCATTAATCACTATGTTTGCACTAACAAGAATCAATACAATTTACAAGCATCTTCATGGTGTCAACTATCCGAACCAAGTAATTGGAATCTAATTCTTTTTTGCAGATATTTGACCCCATCACTGTAAGGACTGAACAACAACCAAATACATGTGTGTGTCCAGTATGTGAATCATTACACAGTGGAAATGGCCTGTGCATTTGGCAAGGTTGTTAACAGAAAAATAAATGCTATCACATCTGGTGGTGAGCTTTCAAAGGGTTAAAAGCCAGATATAGCAGCAGCAGCAGAAGAAGAAGAAGAAGAAGCAACACAAACACAAATTCTTACCTACAGATGCTTCCATGCCATTGGACTTCTACAAACATTTTTTAGGACTTGCACCAACAAAAAAAGGACACAATATGTCAATTACTAAGACTATTCTAGATCACTTAGCTCTGAATAACCAAATAACATATATTTAACTCGTAGCAAGACTAATTGACCATAATTGCTAAGACATTAATGTAATTTGTTAATTTCAGTAGGTCACATGTAAATATCTCTACTAAATCCACTCATGATGCTAAGAGGAAGAAGACCGAAGAAAAAAAGGAAGATGAAGTCAAAGCTAAAAAGTCACATTTGAAGACTTTTCTTGGATCCTTCCGAGTTTAGGAAAAGGTAAATGACCTAACCTAGTTGCCTTAGTTGATTTTACTTTGTTTAACTTAGGAAAAGGAAAATCAGATTTAGGATGAATTCCATAGCATGACTCTCTTTTGTTTAAATGAAAAAGCTTTTTGAAACCCAAACTATGTTTCGAAAACACTAAAAGAATCATGCTATGGATCCTAGTTTAGCAACACCCTTTAGTGCCCAATAGAGCAAATTTTTCCTACATTTTGTGCTTAAAAACTTGTAGGGACCGTTGAATGCTTGTTGGTCCACGGCTCAAATGTCTTTGAACACTTGTGGAGAAAAGCTAAAAAGTCAACCAATGTAGACTGTTTGCTTGACCACTCAAGTGGTCTCCACTGTTGGGGCAGAGATTTGATCATTGTTCAATTTAGTAGCCACCGCCTGAAAATAGCTTGCTAAAAGCTCGCACGATGTGTCACTAATTTAAGTTTTCTTGAGCCCAAATTAAACTCTAATTTTAGGACCTATATATATGGGAATGGGACGGTCTTTTAACCCTAAGCCACATTAAATCTAAAAGAGGCCTTAGAGACTATCTACAAAGCATAGAAACAAACCCTAGACTCCCTAAATCCAAAAGGCCATAAATCTACCTTGATCAATCTTGTGCTTAAACTTTTGATTTACATGATATAGAGAGATCTTGTAGAAACCCACAATGGCAAAAAGATCATATGGAGGATTCCAAGGCGGATTGTCAAACTCGGTTTGTCACGTAGAGAAGCTACTGTTTAAGACCTTGTGGTGGACTCCAGAGTGAAAATTGAAGCTAAAAATCATCTAACTATGATATTGATTGAAATATAAGCTTAGCATTGTAATATTACATTGGACATAGTGTATTAGGCCAGCTGGACTCCAATTCCTTAAATTTTTCTACAAGGGCTTCCGCGTAAAATTGTTTGTCTTGTGGTGTGCTTGTTCCTTTCCTTTACATACTTGCTTGTAATTTTACATCTTTAACATGTTCGATAATATGCTTAAATGATTCCGAATATGTGGTATTGGCTGTGGTGATTGAGCAAATTGAAGTGGATTGGGGAGGAAGCTTGAATTTTGAAATTTGGGTGAAAATCTTTAAATTTGTTAATTAGGTTGTTTAAGTAAAGGGGGATTTTGTAGTAATTGTTATAATTAATTAAGTGGTAGAATTAGGCTTTCAGTTGGGCATAAAATTCACAATTGAGTACCAAGACCTAGAGGGTGGACTTTCAGTTGGGCATAAAATTTGCAATCGAGTGCCAAGACGTATTCGCTCCCCCTCTAGGTCAACTACGCTTGAGTTCAGCATGTCGGGGACATACATTCCATATCGCACTCTCAATTGGTATCAGAGCATTGATACCCCATAGAGCTCAAAACCTAGGAGTTCTTGTGTTATTTCTTAACCTATGATTAGTGTCATAAGTGACTCTATATAGCATCAATATAGTTGTCCTATTACACGAAAGAAAAAGCAAAACTATACTTCTGCAATTTGCTCCATTTTTGTTGATTAATAGTAGGACTCCCACAAAATTGAGAGGACAATATTATTAAGCAATAAACAATGAGATGATGATACTAACAGTTGTATATTGAACCAATAACATTAATTGTTGCATCTTTGATTCTGCTTCTTCCTTCAACTGTTTCTGAGGAGTACGTACCCTGTTGTGTCTGGAAAATAAAATACAAAAATACCACAACAAACATGATACACAAACTGAAACATAAATATAAGCTCAATAGAAAAGAAATAATGCTAGGTTACTTTTCAAAAAAAAGATCCAAATTATGCCACTGAGGATCTTTACACCGGTTTCCAAAACGAACAACTTCTCCTGAGAAAATCTTCAACTCTTCCCTGTGAAAAAAATCCAAACAAATAATTGTGAGTAATGTTATATAAGGGAAATAGATAATACAACAAAAACTATTAAGAGAAAGCTCATCAAAGGCAGATATTTATGCAAATTATTATCCTTTCTCTAATACCAACCTCTTGTCATTGGCAACAATTTGTAGAAGGTCATCCATGTCTTTTGACACTAAATGTTGCACACCTTTTGAAGGAAGCACCGCTTCCTTCAATTGACGTATACTTCTTTTTGAAAGAGATTGCATAAGGCTGTAACCCTTAACAATTGTGTTGGCAACCTCAAATGCTAGTATTGACAGTTCATTGCCTTTGGTTGTGACCCCAGAAACAAATCCACTGCTTGGGTTCAAATTGGTCATGCTACTCCCAAGGCTGTCCAAGACATCCACAGCCTTTCCAAGCCCAAGAGTGCTCGCCCTGCCCAATCGCAAACTCGTTTCTGAAACCTGCAAAAGTAAGCACCTATATGTTTGTTCAATAATATAACTTAATCAGAGCAACAAATATTGTTGCATCGCATCATCTTATCAAAGTGTTAAGAGTGTAAAGACAACACCCAACCACACGAACAGGTTTGCATTATCCAACTTACTACTTGTATCAGTGCATAGAAATTGAAAAGCATTCAATTTATTCAATCATAAGCGGACTGATATCTCAGAATCTAACTCCATTAAGCATGAGCATCCAGTTGGAAGCCCTAAGTTCTATTATTTATCACTTACCACCAACACGAAGCAGAGATGTCAGTGCTTTTACGTTTATAACACAAAGAGCTTAGTTTAGACTAATTGATCAAGTTGTTCATATCACAGCAGTGTTTGAACATATAATTTAGGATAACTGAGGGCCAACTCAAAGTGTAATGCAGATTTACTAGTGCATGTAAAATTTTTGGCAGCTGCAAACATTTTTCTTAACAAAGGCCTGCCCAGCATTGAAACTCGTATGGGGGATAGCAACCTAGTGGCAAACCTGGACACGAGTAGATGCAAAAGGCCCATAAAAACACAAGATTTACTAGGTCTACTGAAGTTTCAAAATCATCAACAGAATCGCACTCTCATCATGCATATTCTCGATTGCCTACCATTCTTGTCTTCTCGGCATAACTCAATGTGACCAACCTTCATGCGTGGGGTCCCCCCCCCCCAGGCCAAAGGATTGGGTTGTTCAACATAAAAAAATTGTGTAAGTTTTGACCCAAAAAAAATATAATTGTTGTAAAATCGAGACAATTTCGAAAATATAAACATACTGTTAAGTATTAGAAAACAAGAGATGGAAAAATTAGTTCTTCAACAACTTACGAAAATTAATCTTCAAGATCTTCCTTTAAAAATTTTATTGGGTTAATAGCACTTTCAGTTCCTAAAGTATGTCCGTTTTGTCAGTTTGGTCTTCATTGTATTAATTTTATCAATTTGTTCCCTAAAATTTTAATTCGTGTCACTTTGATCCCTACTCAAACAATTCATTATGTTTTTTTGAAAGAAGTGACTATATGCCATTTTTTCAAATGGTATCACGTGTCCAACACGTGATCATTCCGTCAAAAATTTAATTGTCCATTTATATAGGAATCATTTAAACACAAATTAAATACTTTAGAAATCAAATTGACAAAATTAATACTTTATGGACCAAACTAACAAAACATAAATGCATTATGCACCAAAAGTGCTATTAAACCAATTTTCTTCTTGTATATCAGTCAATGTGTCAAGCTCTCCTCCAATATGAGACTAATCAAAAATTCATCCACTAGTTATTGGCAATTATGGCAACCACTAATTTGTTGAAATTTGACCTACTTCATCCACTTAGAAATCCATAGATATAGTAAATGTGGTACCCATTAATTGGTTGGAATTTGATTATTTCATCCACTTAGTAGGTCATCCATAAATATACAAAATGTAATATTTATAACACTACCCCTTGGATAACCACTATACTAAGATAGTGTTGGGCGCACGAATGCTCCCTCATTAAGACCTTGCCAGTAATACCCGATGGAACAAAACTTGAAAGAAGGAAAAAGAGTACAACATGCAATTGTCTCGTATTTTGATGTGAATGCTCCCCCTAATAAGAAAATCAATTGGATTCCTCACAAACTCAATGAATTCTGATGTTGTATACCAATTTCTTACATATCGACGATGGTAAAACTTTAGTGTAAAAATTTGCAAGATTATCACTAAATCATATTTGTTTTACTTCAATTTCATGACTCTGCTAGAGTTCATGAGTATAGAAGAACTTTAGTGATATATGTTTGGTACTATCACCTTTGATATATCCTCCTTTGATTTGTGCATTATCTTCATATAACCTTATTGAATCTGTAGTCGAAGGCAATCTGCACGTATTTCGAATGTAATAGACTATAGATCTTAGTGAAAACAATTGAGAGAAAAAAGATAAAATATTCCACTAATCCATAATAATCAATACTAGGTACCAGAGACAAATATATAAAACCCTACAATTAGAAAAGATTAGATTACCCTAATGATAAGGAAATATGAAAATACAATCTTAACACACCCCCCTCAAATTCATGACGTGACAATGGGAAATATCGAAAATTTGTCAAGAAGAAAACAAAAACATAGTGTGGTGTGAGACTTCGTGAAGAAATCGACCAATTGCATAGAAGAAGAAAAAGACGAGGAAAGATTCCCAAGCTGAAGATGATGGCACACAAAGTGATAGTCAATCTCTACATACTTAGTCTGTTCATGGAAAATAGAGTTGTGTACAATCTGAATAACGCTCTTATTGTCACAATGAATAGAATTAGGAGCAAAAAAAACAAACGCTAAGATCGGCTAGCAACTATCTCAACTAAACTATCTCTGCTATAGTAGTAGTCATAGCACGATATTCAACCTCAGCAATGGAACGCACTACAACAGTTGTTTCTTGCTTTTTCATGAAATAAGAGAATCATCCACAAAAACAATAAACTAGTGGTAGATGTACGATCCTTGGCATCACCTGCTCAGTCAGCATCAGAAAAAGCATGAAGCTCCAAAGAACCGAAAGAAAACAATAAACTGTGATGTAAAGTGCCCCGAAGATAGCGCAAAACACGAAGAATTGCAGTCAGTGAACTGTAGTTAGAAAAAAAATAAATTGACTTGCAACATGAACAACATTGGCAATAACATGTCATGTAATAGTGAGATAGACTAGACTACCAACAAAAACTCGATACAAAGTAGGATCACTAAGAGAAAATGGGTATAATTGTAATCTGCAGCCTATTATGAGTTAATATAAAATGGGTGATGAGAGAAGAGTTAAGTTAACTCTCATTCTTCAAAACTCTTTCATCTCTTTCTTCTCTCTTGCCTCTTCTCCATTCTAAACCTTAAAACTAAATTTTAAGTCTTACCCTTGTCCTCACGTAGCTGCTAAACACCTCAACTACCTACAAATATATATCTACGGTTAATTACCAAATCCACCTCAAACTCTTTCCCTTCTCCCCTGCTTTCTTTTGTTGCTGCTAAGCTTCTTTTTTTCCCCATCACTCAATTTTCTTTCCCTGCAGCTGGCTCTCTCTTTGACTATGTTTCAACACAGCGGAAGTATCAAACACCGATAAGTGGAAGTATCACACACATAGCCTCTGTGTTCACGTTGCTAAGGTAAATTTTCTAAACTAATTAAAAAAGTGAATATTTTAATGGCCCTATGACATTAAAAATTTTCTACTCACAAGCTGCCAAGTTTCTTGGTTTGCCGTGTTGCGAGGAGTTCACATGAGCAACTAAGTTATTGTGTCAAAATGGTAATAATTTTGTAATAGTTCTTAATGTGCTAAATTGCACATTCCGTCAAAAAATTATTACCTTATCCACTTTTCAATTGCTTGCACAATATAGTAATCTCAATCCTTAATTTCGTAACTACATTATAGTACCACTTTTTATGAACTTCGAATATTTAGTCTGTTATAAGAACCAATCAGCAAGTACAAAATATAGTTCCCATGATGCAATATTTTAATGCCGGCCATGTGGGACACTAAGGAGCATATGCTATGATGAAAATACATACTTTTTACACGCATATAATAGAATCATACTATTAGAGATGTTTCATGTTTTTATTTGTAGTTAGATTTTAAGTTAGATTAATGGATATGTATGTACAAGATTTTAATGTTTCCATCTTTCATTAAAGTTGAGTTGATGAACACTTTTATTTCAATTGTTTTTTTTTTGATTCATTCTATAAGGCTTTTGCTCTTATCTTTTGAGTTTCGCTTGATTTTACTTCAATTT